CTGCGGGGGGCTTGGCGAACGATGAAAACAGGGCGAAAGACGAGCCCCGCTGATGGACAGAACGTTTCCTCTGCGGCGTTTTTACACGCAAGTGGACGCATGGATGGATGGATGGATGCATGGATGCGGGAGGGAGGGGGGAGAGCAAGGGAGGGAGGGAGGGAGTTGGAGCTTTCGACGCAATGCAGAGCGACTCTCAACAGCAGCATGAGCACAAGTTCTCAGTCCGTGTGTGTGTGTGTGTGTGTGTGTGTGTGTGTGTGTGTGTGTGTGTGTGTGCACATGCATCGCGGCGCCAGCAGGCGCTGCAGCACAGCGCGAAGCGGCGAACAAAGGCGACCCGATCCAGATTTGTCTCACGCCAACGAGACTCGCTTCGGCACCTCGGGAAGGGAGGACGAGTGGCATGTCGGATACGACGCTCATTGCGTTTCGCAAAAACACATCAGAAGGCCTGTGGCGAAAAAAAAAAGGGCACCTGCGAGAAAAAGTCACATTCAACTTTGTTTCCTTTTTTGCACCTGCGATTTATGGAATGTGAGGGGGGGGGGGGGCTCGGAGGAGCCCGTAGGGCGTTCGTTGTCCTAAAATACAAGACAAGCAGACACCACGGTTCTCTTTGACAACTTCTGCATTCGAAGGCGACCGGTCCAATTGGGATCTTCGCGCTTTTTTTCACCGCTGAAGGTTTCCTATTGACGTGACGTCACACAGCACGCCATTTATGTGACTTTCAAGTTGGTCTTTTGTGCGCACGCGTGTGCGTTCACGTGGGGGCGTCCTGCTGACTCACCGCAAAAAGCCTTGACCAAAATGGGTGGCAAAAATGTTGCTTCCGACGCCATTTCAAAGTCGATTGCCCCCCTCCCAAATTGGGGCCCACTCGCGTCCTGAACTGGAGCTGCATGGGGAGCAATTCCAGGCTCTCCCGCTAGATGGCAGGATGTCTTGCGTTTTTTTTTTCCAAACGTTGCCGCTCAGAACAAGCTCGTGGCCAGAATCAGAATTTTTTTTGGGGTGACATTTTTGTTGACGTCACTTTCCTCATCTGCGAATTGACTTTGTGTTACTTGGGCTTGCACATTTGCTTGTGAAGGACCTGGGCAGAGGGTTTGAACATGGCAACACAAAGACGCTGAAGGCTGATTGGACACACACACACACATACACACACACGCGCACACACACACACACACACACACACACACACACACGTTGTGACGAAGACGTTCACACAACTTCGTGAAGCCAACATGATGTCCCTCATGCCCGAGCATTTCTTTATTAAAAAAAGATTAAATTAAGTTCACGTACAGGCTAAAAAAATAAATACTATGTACGAAGACATTTACAATGGCCGTCCTCCACAGCGTGCCCTGAAAGTTCTTGCCCCGTGTGAAGGCAAGCTGCGCCAAAAAGTAGAAAATATTTACAACAATCTTTCAGCCCCCAAAGTTTTTTTTATCATCCATTTCGGCAAATTTGTCCAATTGTTCTGCTCGTGAGACGTCTCGATGGATCGCAAGAAAGTGGCAAGCTTCAGCATCTTTTTCCTGTAAGAAAACACACACACACACACACACACACACACACACACACACACACACACACACAAACAAATTAGCTTGTCAGCTGACGTATCCTGATGACAAGTGGAAAAGTGTTCTGTGGTCTGACGAGTCCACATTTTTTTTTGGGGGGGGGGGGGGGTGTCCAAACAGTTCTGGGCGCAAAGTTTGAAAGCTGGCACCCGTGCTGGTACGGGGCCACGTCACGGCCGATGGCAACGCGCGCAGCTGTGAAGGCAGCGTTCATCCCGAAAGGTACATGGACGCCTGCAGTCCAGACCCGTCTCCCATTGACAACGTGTGGCGCACAATCAAGCGTCAAAAGCCTCAACGGAGACCGTCGAACGTCCGCAGCCGTTCGTCGAGCGAGAATGGGAAAGAAAGCTTCAACAAAGAGTCTCCTCAATTCCCAAAGGTGGACTGAAAGTTGTTCGAAGAAAAGGTGACGCAACACAGTGGGAAACATGACCCCGGCCCAGCTTTTTGGGAACCCGTCGCAGCCATAAAAGTCAAAGTCCACGATTACCGGGTGAACATGAAACATTTTGTCCGTGTCGTGGCTTCAACGAAATGGAGGTGGAACACAGAAGCGGTCTGTCCCTCGGAGAGCACTTTTCTCCCTCGGCTACTCAAGGCGCAGGACACCGTTACCTCATTCGCCTCCCGATGACGCGGCATCAGGGGCCACCGGGGGTTCGGTATCTTGCGCAAAGTCACTTCGACATGGCCGCAATGGCCGGGGGATGGAACCGCCAACCTTTGGGTTGGAAAACGACCACGCCACGCCGCCCCCGTGATTCGGAAGTCCTTGTTTTCTATTTGGATTGATTGACTCCACAAAAATGTTCAAACTTGCATCTCTCTCTATCCACTCATCCATTTTCAACACCGCTTATCCGGAACAGGGTCGCGGGGAGCCGCGGGAGCCTATCCCAGCTGACTGTGAGCGGAAGGCGGACGACACCCCGAATCACTCGAATGGCACATGTCGGGCGACAAACCAGCGGTCACACCCGCATCGGCGCCGCCACCGAGTGGGAACCGACCCCACGCTGCCCTCGTACCAGTCAGGCGAGTGGACCGCCGCGCCATCGGAGCCCCCCCCCCCCACCCCGTCTATATAAAGGACCGGGCCGCTGTTGACTCCTGTGGCGCTTGTCCTCGTTTGGGGTCACAGGCGAGTCGGAGCCTTTCCTAACCAATTGTCAGAATACTCAACCGGACCGGGCTGGTTGCCAGCCAAAAGCAACGCAAAACATCAATTCTATACTGTGCAAACTGAACAGAAAGCAGCCCGCAACGGTGCCGCCGATATCTTGGGGAGCGGTTCACGACATTTCCAAAAAAAAAAAACATTCATAGAATCTGAACCGTACTTCGCTACTCATCAAACTTGGCTCCCTCTGACCAACCAATCACGGGACGGCGAAATGTTTATTGTGCTGCAGCCAGTTGCGGATTTTTTGCTTTCAAAATTGCCGACTACCGAATCCCGAGCCGCACGTACACGAGGGTTTGCTTTTTTCGAACGTACGTCGGAAATACGGGTGAGCGCCAGCGGAGAAGGAGCGACTCACCCGTTCCTCTCAGACGTCGGTCAGCTTCCCGGCGTAGATCTCGATCTGGGTCAGGCTCTCCTGGTCGTCCTCCCGGTAGGACTCGGTTTTGGAAAGGGAGCGCTCGCTTTGGAGGGAAACAAAGTCGCCGGACGAGGTCTGCGGCTGTCCGCAGGTCACGTGCACGTACTGCGGGCGATCCTCCTCGTCGTTCTCCCGGTGGTAGAAGTAGTTGAAGTTGGACACGATGACGGGCACCGGCAGAGCGATGGTGAGCACTCCGGCGATGGCGCACAAGGATCCCACAAACTTGCCCCCGATGGTGCTGGGGCACATATCCCCGTAGCCCACCGTGGTCATGGTCACCACCGCCCACCAGAAGGCGTCGGGGATGCTGGAGAAGCCGGATTCGGGGTCCTCGGCTTCGGCGAAATACACGGAACTGGAGAAGAGGACCACGCCGATGATGAGGAAGAAAATCAAGAGGCCCAGCTCCCTGAGGCTGGCGTGGAGGGTCTGCCCGAGGATCTGAAGACCCTTGGAGTGTCTGGAGAGCTTAAAAATGCGAAAAACGCGGACCAGGCGGATGACCCGCAGGATGGCGAGCGAGGCCGCCTGCTGGCTGCCGCCCTGGTGCTCGGCCAAGTCCAGCCCCAGCGTGATGAAGTAGGGCGCGATGGCCACCACGTCGATGATGTTCATGATGTTCTTGAAGAAGGCCGCCTTGCTGGGGCAGGACAGGAACCTCATGGTGAACTCGAAGGAGAACCACACGATGCAGAGCGTTTCCACCATGAAGAAGGGGTCCGTGAAGGGGCTGCGCGCCTTGCCGTGAGCGCTGCCGTTGGCGTGGAGCTCCTGCGCCGACGCGGGGACCTCCCGGAACTCGGGCAAGGTCTCCAAGCAGAATATGATAATGGAGATCAGGATCACCATCACGGAGACGATGGCGATGATCCGAGCCGGTCCGGAACTTTCGGGATACTCGAACAGGAGCCAGAGCTGCCTCTGGAATTCGTTGTTTGGCAGCGCTCGGTCCTCCTCCCTCGTCAGACCCTCGTCGTCTCGAAAAAGCTCCACCGTCTCCTCGTCAAACTCGTAGAACTTGATCTCCTCCAGGAAAATATCCACGGGTACGCTCACCGGTCTGCGGAGCCTCCCCCCGGACTGGTAGTAGTACAAGATGGCGTCGAAGCTGGGCCTGTTCCTGTCGAAGAAGTACTCGTTCCTCAGCGGGTCGAAGAAGCGCATGCGTTTGCGGGGATCCCCCAGGAGGGTGCTGGGGAAGCGCGAGAGCGTCTTCAGTTGGGTCTCGAAGCGCAGGCCCGAGATGTTGATGACCACCCTCTCGCTGCACTCCTGCTCCTGCGGCTCGTCCGCCAATAAGGGGGCGACCGCTACGGTCTCGTCGCGGTTCTCCTCGGACACCGCGGTCATCTTTTTACCCCTTCCCAGGGTCACCTCTCAAGTGTCCTTTCTCATGCAGGTTGCGGGAGTCACGTCGGGTTCCCGGCGGAAAGGGGCCCGTCGCCGGTACCGCGCCGTCGGATCCGCGCGGTCCTCTCGTCGGATTGGAGCCCGGCCGCGTCGGACAGATCTCCCCCCTCGCAGAAGCCGCGCCAATGGGCGGAGGCGGCTATCGTATTCACACCATTTTAAACCGCGCAGCCCTCCCCAAGTCCGAAGACCGGATGGCACCGGCCGCCTCTGCTGCCGTCCCTCCGACGCTTCGCCGCGGTCAACGCGCTTTCCACGCTCTTTTGACCAAGCCTCCGTCGAATCCGCAGCCGGCCGTTTCCCGTTCGGGTTTGTCCAGACCACCCCCCCCGTGACAAATGAGCTCCCCTCCAATTGCGAGCCCCTCATTCATGAAATCATGGCGCTATTCCTGTCGCGAGGGGGAACCCGCCGGTGTCCCCTCGCTCACACTTGAAGAAGCAACTCACCGCCAGCGCCGCCGCCGCCGCCACGGTGAGCTTATATTTAATGTGGCCAAAATAAGCTAAAATGCTGCGAGGCGTGAACCCGGCTGCGCCAGTGGAAAATGCTGGCTTGACTGATACTCGAGACGCGGGGGGGCCGCGGCGTCTTCTTCAGGAAGCCCGGCGCCAAAATAACGCTCGCTCGGCGTCGGTCGTGCTCAAAGGGCTGCATTATACGAGGAGGATGGGCGCAAAGGATGGCTGTCCGGGCTTTTAGGGTCACCAAAAGGACCTGAAGTTGCGCAGCGCCGGCTGATCAATCAGATATGTTGACCTCTAAAAGTCGGAGCTCAGAGGGTGAAGCAGCATGTGGCTCAGATTGTTCCTGACCTTGTGTTTTGCATTTGCTGCATCAGCTCAGCTTGGGACAATCGCGCAGGGCAGTCAGTCAGTCGGTGTTGCGAAAACCCATCTCAACTCTTTTCATGTCATCACACATCTTAATAGTCCAATATCGTGTGCGCGTGTGTGTGTGTGTGTGTGTGTGTGTGTGTGTGTGTGTGTGTGTGTGTGTGTGTGTGTGTGTGTGCTAACAACAATCATAAGGCCCTTTTCGGCGACAGAAGAAGAGGGAGTCAAGTGCGAGCGTGATGATGCCAGTGAGTGCATGCAGTTGAGCAAAGGGAGCGTCTGGCTCACGTTGAGCGTCCGTCCCCAAGGAAACCAAAAAAACAAACAAGCCCTGGCATGGACACGTGATTCGGAATCCGGCGCGGGAGGGGTGGGGGGGCAGGCGTGTTAAATTGAGGGTCCTCAGTCACACGCTCATTCCAAAGTTTTGCTTCCCTGTCCATCTGATACTTTTATTTATTTCATGAGGACTTTGAAATGAAACGACGACGTCGCTTTGCTTTCGATCGGTCGGTGGAGTTCAATGCTCCAAAGAGCGCAAAACGTCACGGACGGGCTGGTGAAGTGAGCATCGACGTGACAGTGGGGGAGCAAGCTTGTGAAACAGAAAGAGTGCATCAACGCATGCAGATGGACAATCAAACAATATGCAAATAGATGCATTCTTTATCCCCTGTATAGAACGACCCATGTTACTTTGTATGGCCTGTATGCTGCAGGCGCGCATTTCCCCGCAAGCTTCCATACGTGTGGGAAATGTAGACGGACGGCCATGCGCATGGAATGACGCGTTGCCCGGGAGACGCGCGCATGCCGTGGAGGGCGACGTTTACGATGCGTGCGCTTCTCGAAGCAGGACACCCCCACCCCCAGTCTTGTTGGAACACAAAATGACCCGGCGGTGTCACTTCTTTTCGACTTTTGCTAGCCGCCACTTTTAGCGTGAAGAAAACGGCAGGCGTCCCGTCTGAGAGGGGCGGGCTTCCTTGGGATGACCTGGCCATATCCTGGTCACACGCCCGGCCTCCCGGATTAGCCTTCCAGGCTTCGATGAAGCCTCGGACAGTTTTAGCAGATGATGTCGCGCTTGATACGTGCCCGGCGGGAGGTGGGAGGACTAGAGACAGGCAAGGAGAGGTGGTCCGATGCTATTTTTTCCATCTTGCTTTTACTCAAGTTTATTTTGAGTGCGCTATAAAACACCCGCCGCTGCATAACAAAGCGCTGGACGCGGAGCAAAACGAATTCAGACAACAAACAATCAATGAATAACACAGACAGTAGAAAGCACAAAAAGAGTCCAACTCAAAATCGGGTCTCAAAGCTAAAGAATAAAAATGACGAGTTTGAAAGATGGCCAGCGAGGGGCCTTGCCCAACGTTTAGTTCAAAGAGCGGGAGCGGCGACGGAAAAGGCTCCACGACCTCGAAGCCTTGCTTAGTTCTCGCTAACTCTCATTGTGTCCGGTCTGCACACCTGAGGCATTGGAGCATTTCAAAAGAAATGGAAAACGAAGAAAAGGATCTTCTAAAGAGTCGGAGTGAGGCGCTCCCTCCTATGAGCTCCAGTGAAGGAGGCGGGCGGCGGCATTCTGGCCCAACTGGGGACGCCGAATGGAGGATCGTCTGACTCCAAAGTCAAGCGCATGATGATGATGATCCAGCCGAGGTGTGACAAAGGTACCGCTGACGGCTTCAAAGTGCTCACTGGAGAAAGGGGAGGCAGTCGCAGGTACAGTGTTACCTTGACTTCCACGTCAAGAGATGAGCTGGGCGGGGTCCAACCATATTTAAAAGTGTGTGTGTGTGTGTGTTTTGAATGCCCCCCGCCCCACCCCGATAACTCCACCGGTTGTAGCAGCCAAATTTCGGAGTTGACCGGTAAGAGGCCAAGCTGTGTTCTTTTCGCACGAACAGCTGTTTCAGCTGAAGTCCGAGGTGCACATCTCGCATTCAGTGGGCAAGACGTCACGCGGCCGCAATTCCGCTCGATGACACGGCGGTGAACATCGACACTCTTTCCAAAAGGAGGGATTTGGCCGGCGGACGCCGCATGTTGTATTTTCAGCTTTCCGCGGCGCTGTAACCCGACGCCATCCAAAGGCAGCGACTTTGAGGGAGTCCTATAAATAAAGCGGCCACACGCGGCGGGCCGCGGGGCCGGCGGCGCGATGAGCTCACGGCAGCGGCGGCACGTGTGGCCGCAACTATTTTTCTGCCACTCGCTCCAGGAGCGGCGTGTCAAGAATGCGGTCTCGCGGGGAAGCCGCAGACTTCGCTTGACATTTTGCGCGGGGGGGGTTTTGAACGCAAATTTGCTCGCGAGTCGGTTGGCTCGCTGGTTTTCGGCGAGCGGGTCGACGTGGGCGGGAGGAGTGTTGGCCCGCGGGCGCGTCGGCCTCGGTTATATTTGACAGCGGTGACTTTCAATTTTGAGCCAGTTAGCACCGGCAATGACTTGTTTGCTTTGGTTTGCTGTCGAGCGACGCAGCCGTGACTCTGGGCCGGCCGCGTTTGACGAGTAGGAAGGTTGCAATACGCAAATTGTCACAGCCTCGCTGTTTGACGGCGAGCTGTTAGCTTTGCATGCTTTTCTTTTAATGTCTAAAATTAGAAAGGTCACTCATCTAAATTTAAAAGGCATACACTGAACCGCTGTTTGTCACGGGGGTGCTATGCGAACCCGTGAGAGGGTTGGCATCCCTCCAAATTTGAGTCGAAATTCACACAATGCTTCGGCTCGAAAATGCACCGGCCTCCCCCGGTGATACGGTGTGCGCACTTTTGCAAAAACACTTTCACGATCGTACTCGGTTCTTTACATCTGGCGGAGTGCGTGCTTTTGGGCCGACTCGGCAAAGGAGGTCCTTGCCTCCGAACTGTCCGGCGGCAAGCGCCCCGTCGGTTCAAGGAGCGGCAAATAAGAGTTCCGAAGACCAGGTCTAAAAACTGTCCGCGGAGAGACTGACGACCTGCGGCCGCACTCTGTTGCGGTGGCATCCGAAGAGCCGGGCCGCCCTCCTGCGGCGGTACCGCTTGGACAGCAGCACGTAGAGCACGGGGTTGATGCACGGGTGCAGGTATTGCAGGACCGTGCAGGTGAAGTAGAAGACCTCCCAGGCGCCCCCGTGGCGGTAGAGGCCCAGGTAGACGCACAGCTCCAGGACGTAGCCGGGCAGCCAGCACGCCGAGAAGGTGGCGGCCGCCAGGAACACCATCAGCGAGGCCCGCCGCGTGTTGCGGGCGCCCGACGCCGACATGGGCGGACTCTTGTGGAGAAACAGAGCCAGGCGGACGTAGTTGAAGGCGATGACCAGCATGGGGATGAAGTAGAGGAGCACAAACTGGCTCAGGACCACTTGGTAGTGATGCTCCTGGATGGTGGGCAGGCAGAAGGTGAAGCCGACCAGGCCGGGGCTCAGGCTCTCCTTGGTGGCGAACATGCGCAGGGGCAGACTGATGACGAAGCTCAGGGCCCAGACCAGCACGAACATGACAACCACCAGGTCGGCGGCCGGAGGCCGGTAGGGGTTGGTGATGATCATGGCGCGAGCCGCCGACACGGCGCACAGTGAGTAGGTGCTGGCCGCCAGGCCGAAGGCCAACAGGAACTGGTAGACCTTGCAGGACACCTCGTCCGTGGGCCACGAGTGGCTGACGGCCGAGTGCAGGGTGAAGGGGATGAGCAGCAGGGTGAGGAAGTCGGCCAGCGACATGCTGAGGAGCAGGAGGTCCAGGTGGTTCTTGCGCAGCGACTTGGACTTGGCGAACAAGGAGAAGACCAGCAGGTTGGCCCCCAGTCCCACGCCCAGGATCACGCCGCACGTGCAGGCGAACACCAGACTGTAGGTGTTGGGAACGCCCATGTCGCTCAGCTTCGCCCGTTTCAAAGGGGACACCCGCGGACCTTTTGCGAATGATCTGAAGCAGTCGATGCCGGGATCCTTCCAGGTGGCACGGCCTGGATTGGGAAAAAAATAGCAGACTCCAAAAGGGTTCCTATTCCCTCCGGAAAATGCAAATGAATCCAGCCCAACCTCCGCGTAGGGTCGGAAAACAAAAGACCGGTCTTGGTCTCAAGACTGCATTTTGAAGGTCTCGGTCTTGCCTTGGACTGGACGGATTCGGGTTTTTCCGTCAAGACCGGTCTGGACCAGCACTGATTTGCTTCTCGACGTCTTCATGCATGTAATCAAAAGGAGAAGCAAGAGAGATAACTTCAAGTGGCGTGCAACCTTTGCGGCGTTGCGACTGAGTTCTTGTCACCGTGTTTTTGGCCGTCACATCATCGTGAAAAGGAACCTCTGCTCTCTCCTCATGGCTTCGATGTATGTCTCGATCTCGTCGGTCTCAGATGATCCCGGTCTTGGTTTTGTTGCAGTCTCGGCTTGCATCGATCACGGTCTTGACTGGATCTCGATTCCTAAAAACCCCGGCCTGGTCTTGGTCTCGTAGAGCTGCGTGAGGCTGGAGCAAGTCTTGGTTTGTGCGTTCCCGCGCCCAAGGCCACCTGCGGGGCGAGGAGGATAAATCCAGCGGATGTCGTGACGGGTGTACAGAGACGACGGCGAGAAACCGGCTCCACCCGACCGAGCTACGGCGCCGTAGGCCAGGATTGGCTGACCGGCCGCCGGTTGTGCCGCGGTTCAAAATGTTTTTTCCAATTTGAAAAAAAGCACATGAGCGACGTACGTCACGCGCCGGCGACAGTCGGCCAACGGGGGCCAGGCGGCCTCTCAAACTGATTCCAGCCTACTCAACCCGTGCGTTGCCAGTGCTTCCCATTCTTGATTGACTCTTCCCACCCGCCTCGCCCGATGCATTTCGATCTCGAACCACGGTTCAGCGGGCCGCCCCATTTGCATCTACTGACATAATCAATGGCTCGATATTGGAGCAAAATATTCCAGAGCCTTCTGTCTCGTTAGCTTCCTGAGTCAGACAGGAACATTGTTGGAAACTTTTTTTGATACTTTTGGAAGCACATTTGAGGTTTTTTTTTTTTTTTGACGTGTGAACAGAAAGTTACCATGACTTTGGCGAACAATATTAAAAACGACACTCACCTTTTCATCATCATCATCATCATCATCATCCCGTAATGGAAAGCAGTATTTTGTTGCTTCCTTCCTCATTGCGGCAAATTGTCACAACGCATCCTTGTCGCCTTGGCAAGGTGGCGGCCTCTCCTCTCCTCTCCTTCTCCTCGCCAGCCGCGGCTCAGCGTGTGATTGCTCAAAACGCGGACGAGCAAACATCACTCGGCTCCCATTCATTCCGGTTGAGTGACTTGAAAGAGGAAAGGGCCAAAGAGCAGCTGCTGGGAGGAAGGATAACCACCTCCTCCTCATTCTCCTTCGTGTTGAGCCCCCACCAAAACTTTAGCGAATATTCTCATAGAGATATATAGATAGAGAGATAGAAGGCTGTTCGAAAAACCGATTTGTTCGAAAACCAAAACCACGTTTCCCATTATGATCAATGTATTTTTTTAAAATCCGTTCCAAGTCTAGAAAACAACTTTTTAAAAAGCATTTTTTTTCCAACTATTTTATAACATAAACTGTATACATGTGTCATAAGAGAGCGGGTAACAACAAACTACAAACATTTTGTATGTTTTATTTTTTTACCAATTTCAATAGAAACATTGACATCGTAACATAAAAATTGAAGTAACATATCTCTCTCTCTCTCATCGTGACAATTGTAGATTACATTCTTTTACACCTTGAATTTATAAACCCTCAAGTAATGGTTGTAACTGTGGACGCTCTGTCTGCAATCCGACGCTACGGTACGGTACGGGGTCACATCCCTCCATCCATTTTGTGAAGCGCTTTATCCACACAAGTCCAGTCGCCCAGACTTGCCTCTCCCCAGCCACTTGTTCCAGCTCTTCCGGGGGCGTTCCCGGGCCAGCTGGGTGCCATCGTCTCTCCAGGTCGCGGCGGCGGTTAATGGAAAAGAAATGACGTGAAATAGGGACTTGGAAATGTGAAGGTTAGAGAGGTGCAAACATTGGAAACGGGCTACGGTGAAACGAGGTTCGACTGTCTTTCTCTTATAACACGACAAAAACGATCCCAGAATAAACACACACACACACACACACACACACACACACGCACACACACACTCCCTCCAGAGCCCTTCATTGATTGTCATTTTTATTTCTTGCCTCCTCATTCTGGCATTTGATTGATTTTTCGTCCTTTATCAGCGTTTTACGATTGCACGTCATCTCATGGCGCACGTTGCCGGTCACCGAATGCAGCCGACCAAGCGTGAGGCCTTCCCCGTCCGCCCCTCCTGTTTTCAGCTTCAGGAGCGAAGAAAACAACACCGCAAAACGGGGTAGTTTTATTTTGGAGTTTCACTCAGACACACGTTGTTGAAGAGCCGTTTCAAAACAACTCCAAACATAGCGATCACCGTTTCCGCACGCAAGTGAATGGAGATCTCATTCATATGTTCCGGCCTTAGCCAGAAAACCCAACGAAAATGTTTGGGATATGTTTTCTTGTGACCAAGGAGAACACGACTGGATAATAGCGCACTTTATAAAAATGTATGCAACTGACATAACAAAAGACAATGCAAAGGGGGGAAAAAAAAACAACCCATCTTTGTCACATTGATTTTTGCTTCATTTCACGTGTGCTCCTCCAGTGTACTCGTGCGATTGATTGATTGAGGATATAAACCCACAAAAATCGAAAAAGAAAAAGGGAAAAGATTGTCAATGCATCGATGAGCTCGTTCAGTTCATGTTCAAAGGAAGAATTTAGAAAAATGATCTGGTCCTACATCCGTCTGTGTGTGCGTGTGTTTCGTTGTCTACCTACTGTATGTTTGTCTGTGTTTGGGTGTCTGTTTCATGAGCTCGTTTGTGGGCGTAAGGTCCAAGGTTTTTAGAGTGAAAAATAAACCTCATGACCTCAACATACTTTGAAAAAGTCTCGCTACATCTTACATTTAAATATTCCCTCAACTATATTGTGGAAGGTCCTTCTTTTTCGTCCATGTTTGTGTTTCATACGTGTGGGCGGTTTTCATCTGTTTACATTATTTGATCCGTGTTCAGGTACATCAAAAAACTCAACGAAAACATACACATTTTTCGAAAAATAAATGAATGAATAAATAAATAAAACTCGAAAACATGTATGCATGTGTGTGTGTGTGTGTGTGTGTGTGCTTCTCATCTGTTTACATTATTTGATCCGTGTTACGGTACATCAAAAAACTCAATGAGAACATACACATTTTTTGAAAAATAAATCAATGAATAAATAAATAAAATGTGTGTGTGTGTGTGTGTGTGTGTGTGTGTGCCCGAGAATCCATTTTCAGTTTCCTACCGTTCATAATGTCGGAAGAAATGATCTCCGAATACAAGACAGCTCAAATGGACTTTTCGAAACCGGTCGCTGCAGACGAAAAGCACAAGCAAGTCCTTCGGAGTACATATTTAATGCTTGATGAATAACTGGACACATGTACATGAAGCTCTCAGTGCAAGTCAAGAACGTTGAAACGGCCGTGTTCTAGAAAAATAAACTATAGCGCCATGAGAGTGGGTTGACGAGGCGTCCAATAAATTACATCCACAAGAAATATTTTGGGGGGCCGACAAAAAAGAATGAAAGGAAGGAAGAAAGAAAGAAAGAAAGCAGGACCGTGGAGACAACATCATCGACCACAAAAGAACATGGACATGGCATAAGCTAAAGTGCATGATGGGAGTCAGTCAGCAGCGCCACAATACATTCACCAAATAAATAGACACTTTCAAGATGAAATAAATTATGGCTGGCGGCGCAGCAGGAGCCAATGGATTCAGTCGACAGTTTGTGAAGCTGCTCCAAATAAATA